TTACCTTATAACACTAACCCAACCAAACTCACTATTACACAGTATACCCATGTAATAAACCTGCACGTGTATCCTCTGAATCTGAAATGAAAATAAAAATAAGAATAACCTGAGCTCTTAAAAATTACCTCATTCATATCTTTTTTTCTCTGTTCATTTTCTATGTCCCTTTCACACTCCACCACCCGTAATGAGCCCACATGCTAGTGAGTAAAGCTCCGTGGAAGACAGGTCCTTGTCTTGCTGGTTTCAAAGCCGAAGCTCAGAATCTGGAATAGTGCCTGCCACACTGTAAGCCATCAAATAGTGTGTGTTAAGTGAAGGGCGGATAAAATCACACTCCCCAAGTGTCAGTGAATCTGAAGGGATGTGTTTGTGTTTATGGTGAAGGATGGTTTATCATAAATCATAAACCAACCCGACTAGGGCAAGCCTCCACTAAAATCCTATTAAAGTAAATGAAGGCCTGAGGGCTTCCGTAGAATGGCAGCTGCTCTCATTTCAGAATGGGCCTAGTTTCTCATTCAGCCAAAAGTCCTGTGCACTTTTGCACAGTCTCTCCCCCATAGCTCATTTCTTCCGTAATCCTTTTTGATGGAGTTCCTTGCTTCGGCCCAGTACAATGACATTGCTTTCATGGCTGGGCTGACTGCCAAGGGCCCAGATAAAGCAGAAACTGGAGTGGAATATTCTTTTCTGAATAACTATAACCTTCCAGGTGCTTGGAGTTGTGTTACCTTCCGGGAGAATGACAGTCTGTTTCTGTCTTAGAAATGGAGAGGCTTTCCCACATTCCCATAGCATATCTCCAGTGGAGCAGGGAAGAGATCCTTAAGTACCTGGGAAGGAACTGGTCTTCCTGGAATTTTGGATACTCTAAAATTTCCCAGACCATGCCATTCATCCTTCAGCTACCCAGTGCAAAGTTACCTTACTTGCACTCGAATATCTTTTCCTGGCCAGGAAGCGGCTTCCAGGATTCTCTGAGAAATAATAATAGAAAGGGAATTTTCTTCCACCTTTCACTTAGGCGTCTCAGTAAAGCAATGGTCAGGGGCAACTAATTCCTGACTTCAGCAAAGCTGAAATAAAGGCCATTTGAAGTCACTCTGTTGGAAAATAACATTAGGGCTCTGGAGAGAGTACATGAGAATTATGAATGGTGCAATCCTCAGACTGGGATTTTTGCCAGCAGCCAGGTCAGTTTAAGGTGGGTTCTCTCTGGAACCCCTTTTTCAGACACCTGGGTACGGGGACTGGATGATGCACGAGAGTGGAGGTGTGGCATGGGGAAGAGGAAAAGAGGAGAGGACCGTACCGGGCATACGGACATGGTTTCTATTGCCTGAAGAGTATCTTCAACATTAAGTCTTTCGATTTGATAATTCAGCGTCTTTTCATCTTTATGATATTTTAGAACCAAATATTCGAAAGGAAATATGCTATGAGCATTAAAGGTTCTATTCTGTAGAAACAAAACCAACCACCTCTTTCTCAACCTGATTTTTCTTTTTAGGAGTAGCCATTTTTGATTTCAGGTTTTCCTGTGTTCTGTTTCATACATTTACATTTTGGTCAAGCTTTCTGACATTCTCATACTACATTCTGGAGGGGATAAAAAGCTAATTTGAGTTTTCTGCTACTCAACGCATTTTCTTTTCCCTTACAAAATTACCTTGTATGTCCTCTTCTCACAACATGCTAGCAATCCAGATATTGCTGAGAATATTTTAGAGAATTGACCTTTCTAGGTTGTTAAACTCTTTCAGCTCCTGGAAAAATAGATTACTTGAGGGGGGCTGAAGGGCTAAAGGAAGTCTTACACCTACCACAATTCCCACTGCTAATGATTTTTATAGATGCGTTTCTCTGGATTCATTGTTGGAATGAATAACGAAGGGGGAGAAGAATAGACTTGGTTGTTTGTCCTCATGCATATTGATTCGTAAAACTAAAGACCTCAAGGGAACATTGTGAGCTAAATCCCTTCATCGCCCCGTCTCCAGGGAAGAATTTATTTGGATACTCCAAGACAGAAGGTCGACTGCACTTAACAGCCACCATAGGAAACTCTGCCACCTTCTTTAGCCACGTGCCTCAGCGTCTTATCAATTCTTGCAGACAGGTAATTATTCATAAACTCTAACTTAAATAATTCCAAAACTCGGTAAAAATGTGTTTGTCTGTTTTATTTACTCATGTATCTGCAATTTCTTGAGAGAATGATTGGCATCTACCACTAACTAAGTGCCTTTTTGAATAAATGAATAAATAACTGAATGAATAAATAAGAATTAAGTTATATAACAGAGAAGGTAGCATAATCATTCAAGTTACCAAGTATTATTGAGAATTATTCGAGGCATACTGCTGTTTCGGCACCGTGTGGAATTTGCAGATATAAAAAGGAAGAGTTTGTTAACCCTGGGGTTTGATTGTTTCTCACAATCTTATAAGGGTGTGTCTCTAAACACAAGTCACCGCAATCCAAAGGAGATTATGAAAGGTATAATCTAAAGCATAAAGAGAGAGCGTGAAATAAACACATGTGTTCGTGTTAGGATGCATAAAGATGGCATAGAGATAAGATGATGACAGGTTTTGAATTACTATGGGACTTGGAGGTGGAAGGCCTTTCCCGGTAGAGGTGAGCCACACGGTAAAAGGAGGGCAGGAAACTGCAGGGTTGGATCCACAGCCACGTAATCTGGTGTGTCTTGAGGGCCGTGCATGGCTGTGTATGTATGTGATGTATATGACAGAGCAGGTGGAAAAAAGCAGGAAGGGGTTGCTGGGTCTTCTAAAGACAGCTACTAGTAAGTTCAGAGAAAGGAAAGAATTATTCGTGTCATGCAATCCCATATTGTAGGTACCATTAAGTCTAGATTTTTTTTTGTCTGTTTTGTTTACGATTGTATCTGTGGCTGGAACGGTGCCTGAAACGTGGTTCATGATGGATAAATATTTAGTGAATATGAAATACTAGTACTCTGAGGATGGCAAACACAGGTCATGCCTTTGTGAAACTGTTCAGCTCCTTTTTGGTTTACAGTCTCCCTGCCAAAGAACCTGCTTTCAAACTAGAAAAAAACTCAAACAGTTATCAATAGAGGATATCTGGCTGAGTGTAGTGGCTCAGGCCGGCAATCCTAGCACTTTGGGAGGCCGAGGCCAGCCTGCACAACATGGCAAGACCCCTTCTCTAAAAAAATACAAAAATTAGCCAAGAACGGTGGTGTACACCTGTAGTCCCACCTACTCTGAAGGCTGAGTGGTGACTGTGCCACTGCCCTCCAGCCTGAGAGAGAGTGAGGACCCATCTTAAAAATAAGTAATTAGGGCCGGGCGCGGTGGCTCACGCCTGTAATCCCAGCACTTTGGGAGGCCGAGGCGGGTGGATCACGAGGTCAAGAGATCGAGACCATCCTAGTCAACATGGTGAAACCCGGTCTCTACTAAAAATATAAAAAATTAGCTGGGCATGGTGGCACGTGCCTGTAATCCCAGCTGCTCAGGAGGCTGAGGCAGGAGAATTGCCTGAACCCAGGAGGCGGAGGTTGTGGTGAGCCGAGATCGTGCCATTGCACTCCAGCCTGGGTAACAAGAGCGAAACTCCGTCTCAAAAAAAAAAAAAAAGTAATTAAATAAATATAGGATATTTAAGGTAAGGCAGTAAAATAACATCTATATTCTTGGAATAATTTCAGTATTTTGGGCTTTGGAGACATAATATATTTGGATACTGAAATAATTTCAGTTATAATTTTACAACTACTATGAATATGTTTTTGAGAACTCATGGAAAATAGCAAAGGTGACAGTAAAATGTATTGGCTAACATTGGCCCAACTTTTGAAAAGCAAAATGGACTCCTTGAAACTCAAAATGTGACACAGCAAACTGTTTTTTTAAATGCAAACTGAGCTTGCAAGAGAGACTGAAATGCTCCAGTTGCCAAGATGGAAGATGGACAGAAAACCATAGCTGTGACCTCATGAGTTGATGCTGCAGCTACCCTGGCTGATGGTCCCAACCACAAAGGACTTATGATTTAACACCATGAGGCCCAGGAGTGAACTACTAAAGCATGGACTTCATAAAAAAGAAAACTGAATCCAAAGAAATGATTCCTAGACATGAAACATTTCTGAGCCAAGAAATCGGCAAAGATAGGTAAATAGAAATAAGCATTGACTATATAAAATATTATTTATAAAGGTTATTTTAGTGACAAGAAAGCAAAATGAATTAAAATATGGACATTAGGAAATTGTGTTCTGGAGGGAGAGGGAGATAATCATGAAATTAAGACTGTTAGGTCAAGTTTGCAAACTAAAAGTTCAGAGGTGACTTTTACTAAATAGATTATATGATTTCCAAGCCAGTAAAGGGCAAAACAATGATTAAAGAAAACCCAATAATTAATAGAAGGCAGAAAAAAAGAAAAAATGTATGGTAAATTGCAAACACTAAATAAGATGATAGAAATAAATCTCAATCACAATTTTTAAATAAAATGAGCACAGATGGCTTACATTTGCAATGAAAAGTAGAGATTTTCAGATCGGATTTCAAAAATGTAGGGTAAGTTTATTTAAAGACACATAATTATTTTTAAAAAACAGCTCAAAGAAGTTGGAAAAAAGTGGGAAAGATACACAAAGCAAATACTAAATTAAAAGGAAGTTGATAAATCTCTATTAATATCCAAAAATCCAATATTATATAAATATACCAACATTTATATAATTAGGTTGGTGCAAAAATAATTACTGTTTATGTCATTACCTTCAATGGCAAAAGCTGCAATTACTTTTGCACTAACCTATTTATACAATAAACAGATAAATTTTATTGTGAGTTTTTGAAAGTTACTTTTGGAATATAAATACATATTCACTATAAAGGAATTACCATTTTTCAGAGCAAAGATCATGAACTTTATTGGATTTAGAGTCTGAGTATGAATTTTAGTTGATTGTACTAACACTTATAATAATAGTAACCAGACAGTAATAATAATTTATATCATCTTTTGGCTACTCTATAAGTACATTTTAAAATTTAACTTTATCTTCTGAGTCACTCTTACTACTCCTATTTGAAAGATGAAGAAATTGAAGCTGATGGAAATTAAGAGATTTGCTCAATGACATGAGCCAACGTGGGACTCAGATCTATGCCTGTGTGATTTCCCAGTAGTGCTTTTAATCATGATGCTCCTGGGGCCTTGGTTTGCATAGAAACTTCTTGATAGATGTGAGAAGAACCTTGGGGACAGTTGAGAGCAACGCAGAGTAGAAGTAAAGATCTCAAGCACTGGGCGGTCTGACTAAGTGTCCACCGACGAGCCGCCCGAGTGGTGTGGAAGGAATTGGGGAATAAGGACCTGTCCATCTTAGAGCTCTTTATTACGGTTGGGGAACTCAGATAGCTGGAGCCTTGGAGGCAGTGGGTACTTCCATGAGTTATGGAAATAGGCAGTGCCAGCAGTAAATTCAATTTGTTCTGAAACATCCCTGTTATTCATTCCTAGGGCCAACACCCATAATTGCCCTCTATGTCAGGGTGAGTGGACAAGGGACAAAGTGAGTACCTGGACACAGTCCTCCGACTTCCCAGGAGAAACAGATGCATTTTTTCTGATTCCCCACAGAGGTTGAATGGGTTAGTGGCATTTCTGGCTGCTTCTTTCACCCTAGTAGCCTAAACTCTAGAGGGCTATCTGAGTCCTAGTGTTTCCACACGTTGATGTTTTAGGGTTCTATAAAGGCCATTTGGAAGATTTTTCTCAGTGGGATGCCTAGAGATGTCTCCTTCAGTTGCAACGTCTTAAAAATGGATGTCTTTTGATTGGCATAAGTTCATTCAGGTCCTTCTGGAATTTCCATTGCAAATGTCTAACGTGCTTGAAATTATGGCTGTCTCAGACAGCAGTGAGTGCTGCTTCAAGCACCTTGACCATCAGTCACTGGACTGTGGGAGGGAGTTTTAAAGGCTTTGTGCATCTGGCCTCCTCTCCTGACCCCATTTTCCAGGCAGGAATCTAACATCAACCACACTGACACATGGGAGCTCTTTCAGCATTTCAATTGCTAACATTGAGCGTGTCTAGTTTCACACTGAGCCCACACCCAACACCTTTCTATCATCCCACTTCACTTGATATAATGCTTGTTTTAATTATATATAGTTGACTTCATAATTTATTTGACATGGTGGGTAATATGGTTTGGCTGTGTCCCCACTCAAATCTCATCTTCAATTGTAGCTTCTATAATTTCCATGTTTTGTGGGAAGGACCCAGTGGGAGACAATTGAATCATGGGGGCTGTTTTCCTCATCCTGTTCTCATGGTGGTGAATAAATCTCACAAGATCTGCTGGTTTTATAAGGGGAAACCCCTTTCACTTGGCTCTCATTCTCTTCCCTTGTCTGCTGCCATGTGAGATGTGCCTTCAGCCTTCCACCATGATTGTGAGGCCTCCCCAGCCACCAGGAACTGTGAGTCCATTAAACCTCTCTCTTTTGAAAATTGCCCAGTCTCGGTTATGTCTTTATTTAGAGTGCGACAGCAGACTAATACAGTGGGGCAGGGAGGATAATTGCCTTTATGAATTTAGCAAATATTTCTTGGGCACTTTTTTTAAATGCCTGGCACTCCTCAGGGTTCTGGGGATACAATGGCAAGTCCAGCAGTCAAGTTCTCACTGAGCTTACCTTCCAGTGGATAGCTGCAGAAAGCAAATATGTGCTGTATGAGTTGGTGATAAATGCTGTTAGGGAAAAAGGGTAGGGTGAAGCAGACAGGGAGCTGCTGGGATGGGGGATGCAATTTCATACTGGGCATTCAGGGATGCTCTTCCTGGCATTTGAGGGAGAGAGATAGATGTAGGAGATCAAGCCATGCGGAATCTGGGAAAACATTTCAAGCAGAGACAAAACAAATACCAAGGTGCTAAGACAGGAGCCTGCATGCCATTTCCGGAGAAAGACAGGGAGCCTGGTGTGGCTGAAAGATGAAGGCTGGAATAGTAGAGACTGAGGATTAAGAGGAAGTCAAGCCATGCAAGTCCTATACAACCATGGGAGGAGACCTGGTGTAACAGCCATTTCAGCATGGTGGCTTCCAACTTTGACCTTGTTCTCAAGGTCAGTTTCTACAAATCTTAGTCTCTTCATCTTTGATTTTCATCCTTTAATGAAAGTCAAAGCCACCAGAGTATTTGAGAAGCGGGGTAACGAGACTTGACTTTGTTCTAGAAGATTTCTCAGGCAATAGTTCTACAATGTTTCTATCTGCCACTGGATGAAACAGACTGCTTTTTTGTAGAGGAGGTTGATTAAATAAATACATCAAATTAAATGGGAAGACTAATTTTCTAGGATCATTTTCATGCACGCTTATCCTAGATTTAGCAGAAACATGTGCACTGATATTTAAAATGGCTCCAAATACTTATTATTTACATAAAATAAGTAGTAAACACCTAAAACAAACTAACGCAGTCTGATCCTTTCAACTTTTGGTCTTTCATTCCTTATTTGTAATGCAAACTGTCCTGGAAGAGGGTACTACGTATTTCAGCTGCATAAAATGTATGGATGGCATCAAATTATGAGGGCTTACGCTCAGTTATTTTTAGAGGAAGAGACTGTTAAAATCTGGGGTAAATTATACTTAAGTCAAAGACTAAAAGATGAAATTTCAATATATACCTGAAAAAAGTCTTAGTTATGAGTTACCATCAGTTTTAGAAATAGTGATTGTTCACAGTCATATCCAATTTGAAATATAAATAGAAAATGATTTCTTTTCCTATTTGCTTGAATCAGAACAAAATATCAGAACACCATAACATTTCCTGTCTTTCGTTTTTGACTTTTTGATAATTTTTTATTCCTATACACTTGGGAAATTTATTGGAATAAAAAGTGAAATACATATGCCCCCAAAAACTTGTTAGTAAAATTATGATGATGCTTTTGTTGCCTGGAGTTGTTGAAGGGTATTATCTTTTGGTGGCAGAAAATTTTCCTCCACGTGTTCCTATTTTCTGAAAATATTTTCTTTCAATTAATTTAGTTCCACACATTTTGGTTGGCACGTTTGAATATATAACTATATTATGGTATAAATGCAGGTAGAAGACTAATAAAAAGGGGCAGTTGTAGGGATCCAGCTATCTAGTGTTCCTCTGAGAAGTAAATTTTGAAAGAAGAAACATTCAATTAGATTTCAAGATTGTCAAAAAACCACGCTGCCAATAAACTGTGGACGTGCAAACAACAGACTGTTGGAGCGGAGAGGAAAGAGAGAAGGTTGCACAATTGCTGACTGTGCTTAAAAGAGCCAGCGGGATTAAAGGCAAAGAAAAAGTTTTTCAAATATATTGAAAAAAGAGTTATACTAGAAAGTACGACTGAAAATAAATAGGGAGGGAAAAATCCATGTTACTGACAGTGGCTTAAGATTGAACTGGTTTTAAAAATCTGTGTCTGACAAGGCAAACATATTTTGGGCAACTAGGACATAATAAAGACCTGGTTTATTAGAAAATGATTTCAGCAGCTGATGGCATTTCTGCATACTAATAGGCAGGACTTAGAATTTTCAACCATGCCTGCTGCTACCTGTACTAAAATGTCTATAAAGTAATTTGCCATCTAAGCTACTACCTTTACCCAGGAGTGAAGCCTGATTTTGCCTTCAGCTCCCGATCACTTTCATGAAATTGAAAAATCAGGTAGAATGTGTGAAGTCTCAAAGGACTGATAAAAAGACCGGCAACCAAAGCTGTGAGTTTTAACCCTATTCTTGCCATTGTCTTCCTCAGTGTCACCATAACCTTTGCACACTTGTGTTTCTAATGTGTGATGATTACACTCCCCTAGCAAAAATATGTGGCTCAGGAGAGTTTAACGTGTCATAAAGTGTTTCTGAAATATACGATTAGGAAGAGAATGGGGTGACGTCAGTAAGAATTAAGTTATTGAGTTTAATCAACCCAGAGGCAATGTGACTAAGTAACTAGGTGCAGTCTATGTAGACAAACTACCTTGATTTTAACTCCTGTCTTATTGTTTTCTAGCTGTGTAACCCAGGGCAAATGACTTAACTGCTCTAGTTCCTTATCCATAAAACTAGACTTAACTATTGTAAGGGATACCTAAGACAAGACGCACAGTGCTCCATAATGCCAGTTATAATTATGAGAGAAAAATCTTCTTAGACTCAAAGACAAAATGAGAAATACTGAGACTACATTTGCACATGTGAGAAGAAACTGAGCTTACAAAAGTTGGGCCCTAAACCATATTTTAAGAATACAGTAACTCAATGGAAGTTGAATCAATGTCATGTAAATAATGAGTGTTGCACAGCCTGCCATATGTCTACAGCCCTCAAAGGTAAAGATTAAATGCTGAACTCTGAAGTTTGCTTTCCGTTGATGGTGGATGGATGGGAGGACACCAGGGGGTAAACAATGATGTGATTGCCTCGATTGTACCTGTAGGGTTTTATGAAATCTTCATATATGGAGGTAACTGAGTGATGACGTGAAGAGGCTAACACCATTGAAATAACGCCATTTATGGCCAGGTATGGCTGGCACCTATAATCCTAGCACTTTTGGAGGCCAAGACAGGAGGATTGCTTGAGCCCAGAAGTTTGAGACCAGCCTGGACAAGGCCCCCAAGTCTACAAAAAGATTTAAGAAACAAAACAAAAAGTTACTTTGGTAGGATGATGCATGCCTGTAGCTCCAGGACACAGTAGGCTGAGGCAGGACAATGCTTGAACCCAAGAGGTTGAGCTTACAGTGAGCCGTGATCATACCACTACACTCCAGCCTGGCTGACAGAGTGTGACTCTGTCTCCAAAAAGAAGAAAAATATATTACTTACATTTTCCAAGAGGAAGGTGCGTGTCACACCATGGAGGGCCACATCAGGAATCACTATTGTTGAGCAGGAGTGACTGTTTTTATTTTGTGTGTGTGTGTGTGTGTTTCTTTTTTTTGAGAAAGGCAAGACATTCTGGAATCTCACATTGCTTTAGGATTGGTTAGTTTGAATAGTTCTGGTGGGTTTGCGGGCAAAGGATCTTTTCCTTATTGTCTGGTGTGTGGTTACTGGTTGATTTAGAGCAAAGAGAATTTTGGATTGGTGTGAATTTGATTAAGGAGATAGTTGGGAATTTGGAGTGATTGGTTTGCATATGAAGACAGGATCTGGAGAGCCCTTTGCTATTTCTAAAAATTGATTAGCCCTGGTAGGCACCGTCTTTCTCCAATTAGTGAGGCCATAAATGCCACAGGATCAAAAATATAAAAATAAGAAAAGATGGTTAATACAATTGGCCCTGTGAATAGTGGAAGTCAAATAGACAACTATGGAAACTAAGAAAGCATAGTTAGAACCATGATAAATAAGCAACTCTCTAGTATTTTATGAGGTGGGTAAAAGAAAAAAATAGAGTTAGATGTGGGTCTTATGGAGCGCTGGTGGGTGAGGTATGAAAAAATTGCAGCATTCAAAGGATGGTTAGGGGTAGGTCTCAATGAGAAGATGAGTGTTAAGGCAAGACTTGAGCCAAGACTTGCCTCCAAATAGAGATTTGAATACTTTAGAATTCTAGCAAGACACAGAAAATGAACACATCAATGAACAGGATGCTCTCATTCATTCATTCATTCACTCACTCATTCAGTTGGTTGGTCAATCAGTCAGTTAGATATTAAAGAAATATTTATCAAGTACCCACTAGGCCAGGGACCAAATAGACTTTGGGGTTACAATGGTGAACACTGTAGAAACAGACTCTACCATCATGTAGCTTATCAGTTAGTTGAAGAGACAAATATTGACTTAATGGACACGCAAGTAAATACAAGCACACCTTGTTTTGTTGTGCTCCATTTTGTTGCACTTTGCAGATATGAAATCTTTTCCAAATTGAAGGTTGGTAGCAATTGTGCATTGAGCAAGTTGATTAGTGGCATTTTTCCATGGCGTGTACTTACTTCATGTCTCTGTATCACATTTTGGTAATTATCATGATATTTGTAAATTTCTCAATATTATTATATTTTTTATGGGGATCTATGTGTAATGCTCTTTGATGTGATTATTTTAATTGTTTTTGTTAATCTGCACACATCTAAGATAGTGAACTTAATAAATGTGTATGTTCAGACTAGTCCACTGACCAGCCATTCTCTCATCTCTCTTTCTCACCTCAGACCTCCTACTCCCTGAAACACAATCATATTAAAATTTAGGTCAATTACCAAATAATCCAAAAAGAAGGAATCTTAAAAAAAAAAAAAAATTTAGGTCAATTAGTAACCTTACAATGATCTCTAGGTCTTCAAGTGAAAGGAAGAGTTTCAAATATCTCACCTTAAATCAAAAGTGAAAACTTATTAAACTTTGTGAGAAAGGCATGTTTAACCCAAGACAGGCCAGAAGCTAGGACACCTGAACCAAACAGCCAAGTTGTGAATGCAAAGGAAATTAAAAGAGCTACTACCATGAATATATGATTATAAAGAAAGTGAAGCAGCTTTATTGCTGAGGTGAAGAAAGTTTGAGTGGTCTAGATAGACGATCAAACCAGCTGCAACCTTCATTTAAGACAAAGCCTAATCTAGAGCAAAACTTTAGCTCTCTTCAATTCTTTGAAGGCTGATAAAGGTGAGGAGGCTACAAAAGAAAAGTCTGAAACCAACATAGAGGTTGGTTCATGAGGTTTAAGGAAAGAGGCCCTCTTCAAAGCATGAAAGTGCAAGGTGGAACAGCAAGTGCTGATGGAGAAGCTGCAGCACATTATCCAGAGCATTCAGCATTTAGCATTCGTTGATGAAGATGGCTACACTATACAACACATTTTCAGTGTAGATGAAACAGCCTTCCACTGGAAGAATTACGGAGTAAGTAACTACAGATGTATTGGACATTGCAATAGAAATAGAATTAGAAGTGGAACTTGAAGATGTGACTGAATTGTTGCAATCACACAAGAAAACTTTAATGGATGAAGAGTTGCCTCTATGGAAGAGCAAAGACAGTGATGTCTTAAAAAGAAATCTACTCCTGGTGATGACGCCATGGACATTGTTGAAATGAAAATAAAGGATTTTGAATATGACTGTAAATTTAATTGAGTTTCGCAGCAGCAGGATTGGAAAAGACTGACTCTGACCTTGAAAGAAGTTCTGCTGTGGGTGAAATGCTGTCAAACAGCATTAAATACTTTAAAGAAATGAAAGGAAGAGTCAATTGATGTAGCAAACTTCATTTTTGACTTTTCTTTTTAGAAATAGCCACAGCTCCCTCAACCTTCGGCACCCACCACCTTGATCCATCAGCAGCCGTCAAAGTTGAGGCAAGACACTCTACCAACAAAAAAACTAAACAAAACCAAAACTGCTCCCTAAAGGCTTAGATCATTGTTAGCATTGTTTAAGCAATGAAGTCTTTTAAAATTCTATGTATATGATTTTTGTGAGTCATAATGCTATTGCACACTTAGTAGACTACAGAATTGTGTAAACATAACTGTTATATGCACTAGAAAACCAAAAAAAGGTGTGTGACTCACTTTATTATGATACTTGTGGACTGCACTATCTCAGAGGTATTCCTGTATTTAATTGGGACTGGACAGTAGCTATCCAGTGTTAGGAAAGCCTGTAATAAGGCTGTTTGATTTAGCTCAGAAAGTCAGGAAAGGGGCCGTTGAGATATGAAGAATAACTAGATGCTGACCAGTCAAAAAAGGGAGAGAAGATTATCTTTGTAGAAGAAACACCTTGTGCAAAATCCATGAGATAGAAGTTTAAGGGGTAGGAGGCAAATGGAGAGACGAACGTAGTCCACGGTGCAGATGAGGCTGAAGGCGTGTGCTGGGGGAAGGTAGTGACCAAGTAGAGCCTTTCGCACCTCATGATGCAGTTTTACAGAGAGCAACGGACAGTGGAGGAAGAACTTTAAGCTGAGGTATCGCTTGACCTTCCCTGGCTTTGAGAATGGATATAGGTAGAACGTTGAGAGGGCCAGAGTCTAGGTGGGTGATGGAGATTGCTCGGATCAAGAGAGCTACGGTGCAGACAAAGAAGAAGGAAATCGTCTTGATGATGCATTTGACATGAGTGAGGAAACATGAGTTACCAGTTATGAATTCTGGGTCTCTGGCTTGTGAGTGTGGGTTGATGTGGTTCCATTCATTGAGATGGGAAGCACTGGAAAGGGATCAGATCTTTGGGGAAGGTCATGGAATTGATTTTGGACATAACATTATTGAGATTCCTTTGATACATGTGTGTGAAGGGTTCAGGGAGGCAGTTATTTCTATGAGTCAGATCTTCTGAGGAGAGATGCAGCCTCAAGAGGCATGGATACACCCGGAGTATCTGTTCCCTCTAGAAACGAATTAAAACTCCTTTTCCAGATCCAGACTCTGAGCCAGCCATGCCAACACAGGAAACCCCACTGAAGCCCTGGCTTTTTGTCTACTACCAGAAATATCCCATTGTTTGTAAGTTGGCCATTGAAAAGACCCCTCTCTACCAATGTAGGCAGGGACAAAGGCTGGGGGCCTTGGAATGAACCTTTATTTCTCTCATCTGAAGGCCATTCTGGAATAGGAATGTTTTTTCTTCCCCACTATGAAGTCATAATGTACCCCTTGAACATCCTCAGCTTCTTGACCTGTTAGATGCTGGTTGTGTGCCTCTCTGCTTCCTACTAGGGGACAATGTAGGTTGGACGTTAAAATAGCTAAAACATAGGATTTGTAGGCAGACAATATCTGGATGAAATCTCAATCTATGACAAATTTAACTACTTGAAGCTTCAATGTCTTCATTAATAAGATGGAAGTGATCATATTCACCTAATCGTTTTGTTTTGAGGACTGAAGAAGATAACATGGGCAAAATGCTTTAGTACAACGCTACAGTGCCAAAACATGATATGTTTTCTTCTTTATCTTTCTTTCTTTTTTGTTTTTGAGATGAAGTCTCGCCCTGTTGCTCAGGCTGGAGTGCAGGGGCGCAATCTTGATTTACTGCAACTTCTGCCTCCTGAGTTCAGAGGATTCTCCCACCTCAGCCTCCCAAGTAGCTGGGATTACAAGCATGCACTACCTGGTACAGGTAATTTTGGTATTTTTAGTAGAGATGGAGTTTTACCATGTTGGCCAGGCTGGTCTCAACTTCTGACCTCAAGTGATCTACCTGCTGCAGCCTTCCGAAGTGCTGGGGTTTCAGGCATGAGCCACCATGCCTGGCCTAAAACGTGATCTGTTTTCAATGAATGATAATCATGGCTTTATTTATTCTTAACCATGCATTCTGATTTTGTGTCGTGGTGACTCAATCTGAAAATTGCCATCGTTAGAATTGAGGAGATGATATAAAACAAAAAGTCAATATTGTGTCTAACTGTACATTTTTATGAAAAGAAGGAGAAAGCATATTTTAAAGACTAAATTTTTATTTGTGGAAGATTTATTAATTTTAAAATTTCATCTACAGGCTCACATGCATACAAACCTACAGGTGCACATACATGTGTCCTTCTGTACAGGAAGTTGATGGTTATGGGATCCACCCGAAGATACCAACTCCAACACAGGTCTTCGGGAATTTGATAGCAGGACCTCCAAGCCCTAAATGCTTTTGATGTCTCTTTTACAAGATCTAAGAAGCTTACACAAATCTTTCCATTTAACTTTTTGTTTTCATTTTATAGGTGATAATTTTACTAACCAACCTCAGAATCTGTTCTGTCTTGGTTAGCTCTATTAACCAATGCGCAGCCAGTGCTGGGATAAGATTGATCTTTGGGAATCTCCCGAGTCTGGTACAAGATGGTCCTAGTGTTTGTCATCCATTCTTTCCTAGTTAGGTTTCAACTTCAAATATTTGTATGTGTTTCTAGGCAGTTTTAGGAAATGAATTCATCAATTCTTTTTCCAATCCGTCATGATTGATTATTAATATTGGCACAACTGTTAAATCATTATTCCCTAATCAGTCTAATATTTGGTAACATGCTTTATAAGGGTAATTGTTATTCTTAACTTTATTCTGATGATCACCAGTGATCACTGCAATAATTGTTCATGCAAAATTAAATTAAAATGGCCCCCTAACAATTTCGTGTGGACAGCATTCACAGTGGCACAGTTATTTTTTCTTTAATCTAGTCTCTTTTGCAGAAACTCTCACCAGTTAGGTATGATCTTTTCTGGTAGTAGGAGACACACATGGTATTGCTCCTTTGATTCGATTATCATTTCAAGCCAAAAAGCCACTCAGCTACTCCTATTGCTTGGTTATAAAATAGCTATTTTATTTCCTTTCTTGTATTTGCCCATTCTTCATGAAACAGCCTTCAGGTAAATGACAGAGTCTTAACCCCAGCCCATAAAAAGAGGCAAAGCATAGCCTTCTCTAAAATTTCTAGGCCTGAATTTGGAATCAGAGCCCTCTGGCATTTTACTTTGTACAAATTACCTGACTAGTTCAAGGCTCATCAATAAATAGGAATGAGAACACCTATTCCAACCTCTGAGCCATGTGGAGAGTATTCGTCAGGAAAATGTAAGCTTTGTAACCTGTGAGGTCTTGAATACCTGTAAGCTGTTTTTCATCAACTTCCTTTTAAATAAATATATCAGGAACTTAAATCACACACACACACACACACACACACACACACACACACGCACACACACACACACACACAAATCAAGGTAATCATCATATATATTGCATTAGGTTCATCCCTAATTACCTGTATTGTTCTCCCTTTGGTCATTTTCTTCCATTGCCTCTGCTGCAGACACAAATGAACTGAAAGAACCTGGAGGTTTTCTTGGCACATACACACATGGACTCTCCCCAGCCAGTTACCAATGTAGGTTTAACTACAAAGAAATTGAGAGAAGGAAGAGAATCTGAGCTGTAATACTCCGTGGCTAGTCTAGGTTTCTGATTAGCCACTGCCTTATGCTGGTTATTTTCATCCTCATTTCTGGAGGCCTTGAGCTTATTCATTAGAATTTTCGCTAGCTATTCATTTTCTAAATGCAGTCATTTCTCTGCTATGATATTGCCTGTCAATCAAAAACAAGATAATGTTCACTATTATCAATACATTTTTTATTTCTTTTTTCCATTCATCTTTTCCCATTGGCTTTTTAAAAAGCCTTTCCTATTAATAATGCTTTATATTTGGATAATACTTAACACACTCTCTCAGGTACAGCATATTGGTTAATTTGAACCTCAAAACAGCAACCTACTTAATGTGGCATGGAAACCAGGAATGGCTATTAGCTACTTTGTTCTGTGAATGAAGAATCTCTGTTTTACTTTTTTGCTAGGTACTACTAGCAGAAAAGAGACTGAGATCCTCTTTGCTGACCTCAAAATAATGTTTTTAACTGGACGTAACGCTGGGCGGGATACTTTAACTCTCCTTGTTTCTTTTTCCTCATTTACAACAAATGGGGTAGATTTGACCATCTTCAAAGTCTGTTTATCTTTAAATTGGGGATCTATGTCATAAAATATTTATTGTGACCCCGTGTGGAGTGCTGCTAATTCTAGAGCTGTGAAGAGTCATAGGGCACCCTCACTGTCTTCTAATAGCTACGATACAGCTGGAGGGTAGCAGATGCCGATGAGAAGATAAATGAAGACCCGAGTTTAATTTTCTAGGTCCTATATGACTGACATGCAAAAGTAAGTGCTCTCAGGGAGGAGGGAAAGTCATTATTTCTCCAAACTATTGGCAAATGGATTGACATCTGGATCTTGAAGTTTCAAAGTAAGGGAGAAGCCTTCCCCTTAACATTAGCTATAGACTGATGTAAAGAGGATTAAGGATCAAAAGTGTATCTATGGATAAAAGGAGAATGTTTACATTTAAAAAGTCAGTATAAAGGAAAATACATTTGTGGGGTGGGGAGCAATGTTCATCAGTTTAAAAGCTAGTATAAAACTTATCTTGGAAATTTTATAATAAAAGACCTCAAGCAATTTTTTCACTTGTTTTAATATTCTGCATTTCTTGAGCATTGGATGAAAATAAAAATTAAAGCAAGGCTCTAAGCAGAAAAAGATATGCAAGGATAATGGACAATTTGGGGAAATAGCTTTTAGGGCTGAAATTTCTGTGTGTATTTTTCCTGAGTGTAATGCTTTTAAAGATGGCGCCCTGTGAGTTACCATGACAACCTACAGGTATCATCTTTAGAAGGCTAAGGCTACAGATCTCAACTCAAAGTATTTCATCCATACACTTTTGGAAAAAGCCTGTCGATGACTGTAGAGGGAATGCACAAACCATGAAGTAGTCAATGCTATTATGGCCCATTTCTTTGAAATAGTATTAGTCTGGTTGAAGTTGCTTTTATAGTTTTGAAGGACCTCTTCTTTCCATTTCATCGCTGCCTTTAAAGTTTGAAGCATACTTCATTTTCAGCTCCTTATTGAATGTCTCTTAAGACAAGGCAAAAATAAAGGCTAAAGCTTATTTCCTGTGTTCATGATTCTTTGAAAAAGGAAAAGAGGTTCAAGTGTTTTTGGTCATACCATAATTTTGAAGTTGTTCTTCGTCCTTGAGCTGTGTTTTCTCAGGATACTATTTTTCGAAATAAATCCAGACAAAGAATTGACAACTAACTTGCAGTTATGAAGAAAAAAGCCAGAAGATACAGATGACATAAAAGATCCTCAGAATGTAGTTGTTTTCTGTCAAGGTTGTAATGAAGGTAGGTACCTGGGGTGACGAGACTTTTGGCAGCTGCTACACAGTCGCTCACATAGGCATTCAAGTTTGGGAAATTCCTCAGACAGAGTGGAAAACTGAGATTCTTTGTTGAGTCATCGAAAATAAATATCTTCAACTGGTTCAGGCAAATGAAACCTTTAAAAGACCCTATTCCTAAAGGCACTTGTGATATTAATTGCTTAGCGTGATTTATCATATAAACAGTCTAAAACTCAGATTGAGGAATTGGGTATGTGACATCAAGTAGAATGACATGAATTTGATTTTTTTCAAAGTTTTGTTCTATACCCCAACTTAGGCTGGTGAGACACTTCTTAGCATGTATGAGGGCGGATTTGGATTCTGGATCTCACACTGGCAGCTGAAGCTAGACAGACCAGCAGCTCTGTGCAGACGTGTCACAGTTGTTGATGGATCTCGATGCATGCCTTGCCTCAGTGGTGTGGCGTTTTGCAGTTACAGCAGTGATAATCTGATGCCCTGAGGATGTCAAGTTGTTTGGTGAGTTTGAAATAATTTGTTCCTGTTTTCAGTGAGGTTTCTGGTCTTCCAGTTGTGGTTGTTTTGCAATAAAAACTGAACTGTATAAACATCGAGTATTCAACACGTTTTATTTGTAAGAATCATCTGAAGTATGTATTGCATAATAGTGCTACAAGAACTTAATGAGGGTAGGTGAATAGCCATATTATGGCATAATTAATGAAGAGAAAAGGCTTTGCTAGGTTGTTTAACTAATGTGTCTGTTGAAGTCATTGAGCCAACTTTCATGGGTTTTAGTGTTGTCTTAGCATAAAGCGATGTCCATAAAAGTTAGTGGTAATGATGTTTTTTACTTATGAGAATTCACTTAACAAGCGGTTTTTCAAGAATAAATTACCTGCATGGGGCAGGCTAAGCTTGTACTCATCAAAATCACTCACCCAGATAAGTGAAGGAAGACGTAAACATTCACATTCTATTTCAAAAGTTCTTACTACTGAAAAATGTACAGACATTGTATAAGTTAGGAGAATATATTTGAAATACTTTCTAAAATTCAACCTGGTAAAACTTACAATACCAAATTGTCACAGAGCTGGGTAGTATTAGGCAAAATAAAACTAGCAGCCTGGAGTCATTCTTTTTCTCTCTCCACGTGTCTCTAATGACACTTCATAACAATAATTTGATATAACAGAATCATTTTGTATAAGTGACCTGACCTATCAGTTGAAGAAAAAGAAATGGAATGAGGTATTGACAAAAGCAGTTTTTAATTCAGTCGAAGTTTTACTTTGAATTCTAACAGGAAACATGATTTTTACCTTGTCTCTCTTTCTAAATATTCATGAGACGTGTCACTTGCAGTCCTGAAGTGTGTGAGCCATTTCCACTTACCATTGGAAAACTGAGCAGTTCAATCCATGTGAAGATGTTGACAGATGAACAAATGTCACTGGTGAGAAAGAAGAATGGATTAGGGGTTAATGGGAAAGAGTAGGAGGTTTTGAAAAGAGTTAAGTTAAATCTATTTCTTTCATTTTATTGTTTGGAATACAGGGATGCCATGCTAACTCACTGCAGCCTCAAACTCCTGGGTTCAAGGGATTCCCCCCACCTTAGCCTTGAGCCTCAGCCTCAGCTGGGACTACTGGTGCACCTCCATGCCTGGCTAATTGTTTTTATTTATTTATTTATATATTTATTGTAGAGGTGGAGTCTATCTTTCTATGTTGCCCAGGCTGGTCTGAAACTCCTGGCCTCAACCCATTCATCTACCTACCTTACAAAGTGCAGGGAACACAGGTGTGAGCCACCACTCCCAGCCAAAATCGATTTTTTTAATTAAAGAAATAGTGTGTATTTGTATGGAGCATGTGTGTTTACAGCTCTCCTTGAAAATAGCTTGGATTTCCTGACCAACATGAGAAACCCCGTCTCTACTAAAAATACAGAGTTAGCCAGGTGTGGTGGTGCATGTCTGTAATCCCAGCTACTCAAGAGGCTGAGGCAGGAGAATCGTTCGAACCCAGGGGGAGGAGGAGGTCGCAGTGAGCCAAGATCGCACCACTGCACTCCAGCCTGGCAACAAAAGCGAGACTGTCCAAAAAAAAAAAAAAAGGAAAGAAAGAAAGAAAAGATTTTTCTTTCTTTTAGATTTTTATTTGGAAATCTGTCTCTCCCTAATGTTTAATGTTTATTTGGAGATCTGGTGGAGGTGCACGGGGAAGAACAGAACGTTTGATGGAAGCCAATGAATGCTTAGCATTTCCCGCCATGCTCTTGGTTCATTTTGAGCCCATGAGTCAAGGCAGACCCCTCAGAATGTATCTAGGGAAGGTTGCTGTGCACGTGGCCTTGATTCTGGAAATACATAGCCTCTAGAACTGCGACTCCCAGTGGAGAGCTTTTGCGAGGAGTCAACACAGGAAGTGGAACTTAGGAGAAGAGAAACAGAATTCTGATAAACTCTACTGAGCCTCTGTTTTTAGCTGCTCTTGAGGCAATGCTTATCCCAGAAATTGGGATATAAAAACCAATAGTTTCTTTGTTTTAAAGTTAGTTGAGTTGAGCAGCAGCCAAATAAATATTAATAGATAACGTTGCTCACTACGGCAAAATTGGAAAACAGAGAAAGGTGCAAAAATGAGTTACGATAACCTTGGATTTAATTTTGATGTATTTATTTCTGGTTCTTTTTTGTTTATCTCTACAGAAAGAGGGAACTATGATTACAATTCTAATGTATTTTTCCATTATTTTTCTTATCTCTGCAAATACATAATAATTTTAATTTGTATTAATCTAGGATTGTTTTTACATATATAGGAATAGGTCCTTCTTTTTACCAAATAAGAATCAGATTATATTAATTAACATCCTTGCTATTCCTATCGAATTTCTTTCCAAAAAGTTTATAATAATTCTACATTCCTAACCGCCTTGTCAAAACCAGACATTATCATTTCTTGCCATATCTACTAATCTAAAAGGCAAAAATGCACAAAATGCTATCATATTATTATATTAGAATTTATTTGTTTTTCGACTGAGAAGCTGAATGTTTGCTCATATGCTTATTGACCATTTACGTGTCTCCTGCTAATCATTACTCACATCACGTTTCCATTTTCTTATTGCCATTTTACTGCTTTTTAAAAAAAATTTGACTTTAGGCTTTTCTTTTTCAAAGTCAGTGATTGTAATAAGTTATGTTGCCCTGCTGGTTGTTTTAGCACTTACTGGAAAATCACAAACAGGGTCTCGGGACTGCCACCTGTCCTAATTCCAAACTAACCATGTAATAGATTTTTCTTTCTTAAAAGTAGCAGCTAGGCCAGGAACGGTGGCTCACACCTGTAATCCCAGCACTTTGGGAGGCCAAGATGGGTGCATCACTTGAGGTTAGGAGTTGGAGACCAGCCTGGCCAACATGGCAAAAACCCCATCTCTACTAAAAATACAAAAATTAGCTGGGCGTGCTGGCCTGTGCCTGTAATCCTAGCTACTTCGGAGCCTGAGGCAGGAGGATTACTTGAACCCGGGAGGTGGTAGTTGCAATGAGCCTACATCGCACCAGCCATTGCACTCCAGCCTGGGCAAAGAGGCGAGACTCCGTCAAAAAAAAAACACACACACGAAAAAACAAAAAGATAGCAGCTGGACTGGCTTCTGAAAACAAAAACCCAAATCAACTTTTGGTAAAACCAAGGATAAAGCAGAGAAAAGTTTGTCACCAAAGGCTAAAACATACAACTTCAGCATTTCCTATAACTGTTGATTTAACTCCACAGGAAAAAAACCAAACTTGTCTATTGTTCATTATGTGACATTGTATCTCACAGATGTGATTTTATTTAAGGCACTTAGTGTAAGATCCTGCTGGAGGGTGTGACACAACTCTTTCTCTCCATAAACTGTCATCTACCAGCCTGCAACTTTATTTACTAGAAAGAATACACTCTGGTTTCTGAAAGCAGTATTTTGTTTTTACAGAATCACAGCATAACAACTTGTCAATTCTTACTCAAAATGCTGGTTCCTTATACTTGGATGCTAGATCATTTCCAAGGGATAAGAGTTAGGGAAACAACTATTAAGTTCAAGTCTACAAAAGCTCTACTTTCAAAACTTGCTTTTTATTGACGAGTAAGTAAAGTTGGCAGTGTATTTTACTGCTGTGTAGTAAAGATAGATCAATATAAAAAAAGAAGAAGAAAGAGAAAGCTTGCTCAGTTAAAATCTTTATGATAAACCAAAATTATGAGTTCTACTTTTCTTCTGATGATGAAATTTTAATTGCCAACAGACTTGGTGATTTCATGATGATAATAAAATATTTCCTGATAAAAGATTTCTCCTTTGTGACTTTCTTGACCCCACCTAATAATTAGTAATCAAACAGGTTTAAAAAGTGACATAGAGTCATTTTAGTATCTATTTAGTGCTGTTCCCCTGTATCTAGATGCATTAAAGGGATTGTAACACTGTTTCTTAGTGTTAATTACTACAAAACCTGAGCCATCCGCATTACGTTTTTCTCACTATTTATTTTGTGTGTTTGATATCTTGGTCATATTTATTATAATATTTGCTAAAAGTTGCCTTTTGAAAAATTAAAAGGCACTTGTTAAGAAGAAGTACAAAATCTTTTCTGTCTCACAGTTTAAGTATAAATTTTGGCCCTGACTGGGTTAGTCTGAATTTGATCATTCTTCACATGTAGACACACACACACACACACACACACACACACAGGGCAAATATGTAATATGTACATTATATATGAAAATATATGTGTGCCATTTAAAGCTTCTTGAGAATTAGATAAGTAAGCCAACAATTACAATAATGTCTGAGAAATGTTTATTAATTCATTGAAGGAGGAGGCATTGAACTACATGAAGTCAAAGGAAAGAGACCCAAATGCCCATTTTTCCTGTCTTCTAATTGTGGCCTCAGGCCTGTGGGTTTTCTTCTGCTTTCTCCACTTCTTCGTCTAGAACCACATTAGGGACTGATTTTCCTCGAACAATCAGCAAAGAGGTAATAATAGGTTGGGTGGGCTATGGGATAGTGATACAGGTAGGGGTATCCAGAAACAGCAGAGCTGTGGCCAGATGAGTACATGAATTCATGACCAGGTAAAGAGAAAGAAGAAAGGGGAAACAGTTGGGAAATCTGCTAGGAATGAAAGGGAGGAAAACCTTCGAATACCAGGGGTAGAAGAAGGGGAAGACTGGAGAGCTCTGACTTGGCGCCACACAGAAGGGGACAAAGTTTGTGCAGAGACAGCACCCCTGCCTGCTGCCTGGAGACCAGCACTGGGACAACAGAGCCTTCAACTTTCCCTTCCTCCACTTCCCACATTCCCAAGCTTGTGAATCCTGCCCCTCCACACATCCTACCTGCACCCTCTCCTCACCATCCTGACTACCAGTGAGACTCCAGCTTCCTCATGTCCACCTGGGGAACTTCCGAACAACAATCCTTTCTGCACTTCTCTTTCTGAAACACAAATCAGATTATATTGCCCCTTATTTGCAATCACTTTGGATGGGCAAAAGAATTGAATAGAAATTTTTCCAAAGAAGATGCACAAATGGCAAATAAACACAGGAAAAGATGCTCATCACTTACCATTAGGGAAATGCAAATTAAAACTACAATGAGATATTACCTTATACCCAGAAGGATGGCTACTATCAAAAAAAACAGAAAATAACAAGTATTGACAAGGATACGGAGAAACTGGAACCTTTGTGCGCTGGTGTTGGGAACGTGAAATGATGCAGCTGCTGTGGAAAAGAGGATGGTGGTTCCTCAAAAGAATTAACACAATTACCACGTAATTCAGCAATTTTACTTCTGGGTATACATCCAAAAGAATTGAAAGTGGGGACTCAAATTGGTATTTGTACAGCCATGTTCATAGAGGCATCACTCACAGTAGTTAACAGCTGGAAGCAACCCAAGCATCCATTGACAAATGAATGGAGGAAGAAATTGTAGTGTATACTCACAACAGAATATTCTTCAGCCTTCATGCCTGTAATCCCAGCATTTTGGGAGGCCGAGGTGGATTGATCACTTGAGGTCAGGAGTTTGAGACCAGCCTGGTCAACAGGTGAAACTCTGTCTCTACCAAAAGTACAAAAAAAAAAAAAAAATTAGCGGGGTGTGCTGGGGCATGCTTGTAACCCCAGCTACTCTGGAGGCTGAGGCAGGGAGAACTGCTTGGAACCTGGAAGGTGGAAGTTGCAGTGAGCCAAAATAGTGCCACTGCACTCTAGCCTGGGTGACACAATGAGACTGTCGCAAAAAAAAGAAATATATATATATATTTCTGCATATGATGCAATAAGGATGAAGATTGAGGACATTATGCTTAAGTGAAATTAGCCAGTCACAAAAGGACAAATACTTTATCATTTCAGTTATGTGAGGTACCTAAAGTGGTCAAATTTGTAAAGACAGAGTAGAATGTTGTTTGTCAGGAGCTGAGAAGCAGGAGAACGGGGAGTTATTTTTTAATGGGCACAGAGTCTCACTGGGGAAGGTGAAAGAGTTCTGGAGCTGGATAGTGATATTGGTGGCACAATAATGCGA